TTTTTTTTTTTTTTTTACTTTTACGTGTAGGTGCATGTCTTGGGGATTTAAAAATTTCAAGGCTGGTTTACTTACGCAAAGCATGCCTATGTCTGGAATACTTAGGGGAAGAAAGTGACTCCGTGTTGTCCGAATTCCTCAAGGGACAGAAAGGGAAAATAAAAAATAAAAAAAATATAAAAAAAAAAAAAAAAAAAAAAAAAAAAAAAAAAAAAAAAACCCCCCCCCCCCCCCAAAAAAAAATAAATGGCAGCTGGCTTCCATAAGAACAAGCAACAACTAGAAAGATAGAAGCTACAGTATGTTTGTAACCTAATCTCAGAAGTGACATTCCATCACTTCTACCATACTCTGTTTGTAAGAAGCAAGTCACTAGGTCTAGGCCACACTCAAAGGAAGGGGGTGACATAAGGGCCTGGATACTGGAAGGTGGGGAGGATTGGGGGCCTGGTCAGAAGCTGCCTAGTAGAGTCCTCCCACCAGCCTCCAGTGATTCACATCCCTTCACATGCAGAATATACCTCCTCCCTCCAAGGGTCCCCAAAAGTCTCATCTCATTAAATATATCTTCATGCACTTATTCAAATTTGTAGACTTAGTATAAATTCACGATAACTACGATGAAAAGGGTTTTATGTGCCTTTTTTTTCACTGAGGAGAGAGGTAAAGGTATGAAGGAGGAAGATTTAGGAGAAGTATAGACTCCAAATGGAATAAAAGAAGATTATGACTATTATTTTGGAAAAAAGAAACCATCTTTCAGAGTGGACCCCATCTTTTCTGTTCCCATTAAGGATTCAGGTTCTTTGTAGTTTCCATCTTAATACTCTGACTTCGGATAGTTTCCTAGTCATGGCAGGAGCAGCTACTCAAATTATTTGTCTGAGTCAGCAAAACCTGCCTCCTACAGTGCTGAGAATTTGTTGTTTTTCTTAGACAGTGGGGATTCTAGCAACTCCTGATAATATTGGGTTTGTTTCTCTTCTGAATGACTGAATAAATATTACATTTTTAGTCCATTTTCTAAAAGTTACCCATTGTGTTAGCCAGGAGTATTTTTCTTTTTACACTTCTCATGTTCATAAATTAAACTAGCCCCTCAGAAACTAGCATGGGCTATGTGAAGGAAAATGTGTGTATGTTCCTATAGCTAAGCTACATGCTACATGTTTTGTGTTCTTAATCCTCTACATTTAAAATGGATATTTTTTAAGTGGTCAAATGAAGTTTTAAAAGTAAACTTTAGTAGTGGGCACCCAGAGCAGTATACAGATCTTGTAACATAGAAACCCACACCTGAAACCTATATGCTCATATTAACCATTGTCGCCCCAATAAGTTTAATAAAATGAAAAAAAAAAAGAGAGTAAACTTTAAAGAGCATTAACCCGTGCCAGTACTTTTTTTCACACAGAATTATACTTTGCAGAGAGAAGACGACGTTACTGACAAACCATTTGAAGATGAAAGTGACCATCAAAACACAAGAGACTTTAGATCTTTTAAGGTATTGAGTGCTATTTTCTATTTAATTCTAGCTTTTGGTTTATGCTTTGAACATTATGTTTTAAGTATTAGTAAATTCAAAGCTGTTTGGTGATATTTCAAATAGTAGCTATGAACTATTATTTCTGGACACTTATAGTTAACTTTAGTCAATTTAATGATGACCCCTTTCCTCAGGACTTAATTTTCAATTTGTTTTTTATCAGTGCAATCCTTTTACAACATTACATAGAAATACAAATACATAAAACAGATACAGACAGAGTGGCTTTAGGTGGGGAGGCAAGCCAGGTCCCAAACCTTCCTTCTAAGCCTGTCCCTTTACCTGTAAGATGTAAGTGCATAGCTATAGAGCTTTCTCCAGGATTCACAGATTGGAAAACCCTGTCATAGATAGACATGCAGTCCTCAGGGGCTTTCTGGATTGATCATCAGAGAAAAATTCTGGTCCAGCAAGCTTTGTTAAAGCATATTCCATCGCATTCTACATGTACTGCTGTGTCTGGTGTGATAGTTTAAATCAGCCAACATGTTGAATTATCCAGATAACCTCATCCCCCAAATGTGTGGGATAAGAATTACAGTGCAAAGTATTGTATTTTTCTTTTCTTACTCTCAGAAGTTGAAGTGCTTTTTAAATCCATTCTGGCTTATTTTCCTGCTTATGATAGGTACTTTATTCATATTTTTCACTCCACAGTGTCTTATTTCCCCTCCCCTCCAAAAAGAAAAGAAGAATCTGAGCTTTTTTTGTGTGAAAGGAGCAAGCAGGCTGGATGAAGTAGTTAGCTCATTAGTAGGAAATTAGTATGAGCAGAAAGGTAATATAAATTATCCCCAAACCATAGAGTAGGGAGGTAGCTGAGTGATCTTCTCTTAATACCTGGCTTCTTGATAGTCAACATTTTTAGATGTCAAAAGATTTTTTTCCACTGGGAGCAACACAATTGAGTAGATAACGGTTTTAGACTAATTGTTCATATACCTAAAAACGTGTGACATTAGGTTTTCAAAAATAGCTATGACCATAGAATATATAAACATGTTTTATTCCATCTTTTAGTCTCTTGAGGCATAAAATCATTAACTGAAAATGTGATACCTACATAACTTAAAGACTTTGTCAGTGGACTTTCAGATATAAGTGCTTCCTACATGTTGTTCTAGTCATTGGTCAGATATAGTTGATTGTAGTATTTTTCTACAATTGTTATAAGAGCTATTTCGTGTTACCCTTTCTCCGTAATGGAAAGTTCTTTGACATTAATTATAAATTTTAAAATATATGCAATAATTTTCTTGACCATTTATTTGAAGCTATGTAATATTATATGATTATTTAGAAGTCCACAATTCTTTATAGTAAAATAGGAGGAGGAAATAGTCCTTCCTAGGAAAAGGAATTCTTTGATTAAAATTTACTTTTTATGTTAATTGGACTAATTCAAAGCCAGAATTAGTAATCACCTTATTAGATAGGTAACAATGGACAGTGTAAATCTGAAGGTTAGCTCTGATATATTTAGTTTGTGCAGATAGTTTTAACAAAATTATAGTCTCATTATAATTCTGTTTTACCTGAAATTTTTTGTAGTCTTAAGAAAATAATTGGAAATAGGCGTGGCGTACATACCTTTTATAAACTTATGTGCTTCATTATACATGACATACCCTTTGTTAAATAATTGTGGGAAGAGGAATGTACTTAGTTTTTTTATAATTACTCCATTATTATACACCATTTGTACATTTCCCACATGGGAAACACAACTACCCATTGTCACTTTATATCTGTTATAATACTGGGCAGTATGCAGGTGAGAAAATAGTCTTTTAAAATATAACTCTTATCTTGAAAATATTTGCTAATGGAATTTTTATGTTAAAGAAAGATTTGCTTGCCCGGGCCAGGTAGCTCAGTTGTTTGGAGCATCATCCTGTGCACCAAAAAGGTTTTGGTTCGATCCCCAGTCGGGGGGTGTGGGGGAGGCAGCCGATAGATGTTTCTCTCTCACATCAATGTTTCTCTCTTGTCTCCCTCTCTCTCTCTCCCTCCTTCCTCTCTCTCTCAAATCAGTAAAAACACATCCTCGGGTGAGGATTAAAAAAGAAAGATTGGCTTGAAGGTACTGACAAGAATGAAGTTGAGAGCTTTTGATTCTTAAATAGATGTCAATACTTAATGTCTTCCCTTCCATTTGTGATTTGATATATTTCACTATGAATACGAAGGATAATTTTAGCTCATTAGAGATTTTGGAAGTTGTATTTTTTTAGCATGGTAAATTTCAAGAATTTGAAATTTTTTACACTTAACAGTTTTAAAAAATGGTTTTACGTAAAATTTAAAAATTATTATATAAGTCCTGGCTGGTGTGGCTCAGTTGGTTGGAGCATTGTCCTGTACACCAAAAGGTGGTGGATTTGATTCCTGGTCAGGGCACAGAGCCATGTTGCAGGTTTGATCCCCGGATTGGGCTCATGTGGGAGGCAACTGATCGATGTTTCTCACAGTGATATTTCTTTCTCTCTCTACCCCCCCTCCCTCTCTCTAAAATCAATACAAAAATTAATGCCCAGCCGGCGTGACTCAGTGGTTGAGCATCAACCTATGATCCAGGAATTGCAGTTCATTCCCAGTCAGGACACATGCCCAGAGTTGTGGGCTGGATCCCCAGCAGGGGGCATATGCCCATCAGTGACTCTCCCATCATTGATGTTTCTCTCTCTCTCCCCCCCTTTCCCTCCCTCTCTCTGAAATCAATAAAAATATAAAACAAAATCAGTACAAAAAAGTTAAAAAAATAGGAAGCTAGTTTGAGGAAAACGTACTTTATTACCATCATTAACCTATTCCCTTTTAATATTTGTAGGTTGTAGAATTAAGGGTGGCTCTAAATACCAGACATTTTTCCATTTCTTATGCTAATAAAGTAGATTTGGGAGCTATAGTTTTTTTTCCTTTTTTTTTTTCTTTCTCCTTTTTTTTTTATTCCTCACCTGAGGATTTTTTCCCCATTGCTTTTTTAGAGAGAATGGGGGAGAGAGAGAGAGATCGATGTGAGAGAGACACATCAATTGGTTGCCTCCTTCACAAGCCCTGAGATACGTCCCCTTGACTGGAATCGAACCCAGGATTAGGGGCACTTTCACTCAAATGGGGTTACTGGGTGTGAGGTACCATTTACATCACTTTTCATGCCAAGTCCTGCATTTAGAGGGAACTTTGAAGCTCCTGTTCTGGAGAGAAACCTTAGTCTGAGCAGCATCTGTTCACTGCTTTGGCTTTTTTGCCCCAATAGGAACTTTATTCTTTTCATTGTTATTTGACCATCACCTAGATTAATTAAGGATGCTTGATCAATTGGTTAATCTAGGTATGCTGTAACTTATTCCCACATGCCTCAAAGTCTCCCAGGAAGGTTTAGATTGATCTTGTCTGGACTTCTCACTCCCCCGCCATATTGAAATACCTGAGCTGATCATTCATGACTCGAAAGTCTTGTGATGCTCAGCTGTAGTGCGGCCTGGTTACTGTGCATCAGACACATGCTTCCTTTCTCCAACACCAAACAGTCTCAGCGAGGGGTGGGGGAGATGTCCTCTTAATATGTCCTCTTGTTGATCTCACTAACCAGAACAGTGTGGCTTCCCTAAACCACCTTGGTCCCCCAGCTGCCTACAAAGTAGTAAGATTCCCAAGCAGTATTAGGAAAGTACAGAACTGAAATTCTTTCTCCTCATTCATCGTGCACTTGTATTAATCACTTTCTGGCACCCAGATTCCTTTTTATCGCATTTCCTTTCTTTCGGATTCTGGGCTTAGGCTGGAAGATGAAAGGGTAGGAGGAATGTCTGTTACCACCTGGAATAAGGCTGGTCTTTTATTCACTGTCATTCACAAGTGCCCCTCTTTAATATCCTCCTCTTGTCACAGAAAGTTTGCAGAAACTCTTGAGGGTCAGATACCAGAATAGAACATAGAACCTAGTAAGAATTCATGAAGCCACCTCTGGGAACATTGCCTCTGAAAAACTGTCAGCACTTGTGCATTTGGTCAGGAAGACATGGAGTTCTTTACCATCAGAGTTTCTCCAGCAGTCCTCAGGAGCTCTGGGCGCCTACCAGAGCTCTGGCTAGGAAGAGAACAAAGGAGAGAGCCATAGAGACTAGGATTTATGGCTTTTTGAGTTGAAAACAACCATGAAACTCATGGAGTACAAAGATTAGAACAGGAACCAAGATCAGATGAATGAACAAAAATCTGTTATATACACGCTGTGTCCCTCAAACTGAAGTGTGCCAAGGTGCGAAAGTGTTGCATAGGAGCATCACTGCCTTCAAACATTTATGATCTGGAGCCTCCAGTTTCACTACCTACTTCTCTGACTTCTCTGTCTTACTTAGGGATTTCTCTTCTTCCATGCAGCCTTAAGCAATGTAAGCATCCCCTAATGTTATATTCTTTGTTCTCTTTGTTTATTCCTTATTTCTGCTTGTCTTGGTTGCCCTCAACTTTTCCCAAAGTTTCGGCCATCACCTCTGGTGATGTCTTGAACCCTGACTGTTCTTCAGAGCCCGATTTCCAGCCACCTCCCAGATACCCTGACGTGGATGTCCTAAAAGTGCCTCAAATTCAGCATGTTCAGAATCATACTTGCACTGACACATGGTACAGCATGGGTTAACGTTAAAAACGCAGGGCTAAAGGACAGAAACCAGTCACAAAAGACCACATAGTGTATGGTTCCATCTATAGGGAATGTTCAGAATAAACCAAGCCATAGAGATAGAAGATAGGTTAGTGATTGCTAGGGACCGGGGGGTCAGGGGGAATTGGGTGCGGTGGTTGTATGACTGTTAATTATATGGTATGGATTTGGGGGGGTGAGAACATTCTAAAACTGATTATGGTGACTGATGGTTGCACAGCTCTGAATACACTTAAGAAACTTGAATTTTACACTTTAAGTGGGTGAACTGTATAGTATGTGAATTACATCACAGTAATGTTGTTCAAGATAAAATAAAATTTGCTCTCCTCACCAGACCATTGGTTTTTCCTCATGGTCCACAGCTCTGCAGCCAGCGAGCCACACCAGAAACTTGTCCTGTTAATCCTAGTCCTCCTTCCAACTTCAGCCATTCCAAGTCGTCGTCTTTCTATGACTCATTTATTCTGTAATTCAGTTCACTCCTTTTAACAGCTGCATATTATTCCTCTCTATGGATGTATGATTTATTTAGTGCTTTTCAAACTTTTTTTGCTTACATACCCTAAAATTTTCAAAAATTATTAACCTGGTTGCACATGTTTAGTTTGGTATCTAACCTTTTTATTATAAGTTTAAATTGTTATAAAGGATATAATATCTGGCATATTATAAATACTGAGTTTTAAATAAAACCATTATAGCATTCTTTTAAATCTCTTCAATGTAAGCTGTCCACCACAGGAATTTGATAACTAACATCGTCCATTTAAAAAGATGTACAAGCTCTTTTTAACAATGACAAATTTTACATCATCCCCTTTTTTGCCTTGAATTTGAATTTCATTTCATTTCCCCCATAGACTTTTCTTTGAAAGTCTTTTATTGATAACCAAATCAAATTTGACATAAAACATTAGATTTCTGTGACTATTAGGTGTTAAATACTTCCTCTGGATTGAGTTAACATTACTATTGATCAAAATAGCGTAAATATATTACAGATTTTATTAAGTATTGATTAGACAAAGAAGTCATTTTTTTCACACTATCACCAATATTTCTCTTTTTTTTTGTAATCCTTCCTCGAGGATATTTTTTCCATTGCTTTTCAGAAAGAGTGGGAGGGGGAGAGAGAGAGAGAGAAACATCGATGTGAGAGAGACACCGATTGGTTGCCTCCCGCATGCGGGGTCGAGCCTGCAACCAAGGTAGGTGCCCTTGGGCAGAATGGAACCCGGGACCCTTCAGTCTGTGGGCCAACACTCTAACCACTGAGCCAAACCAGCCAGGGCATATCACCAATATTTTTAATTGCCCCTTTTTGGGGGGTCCTCAGGTAATGCAAAATAATCAGATTCGGAATGAGAAGGTGTATCTTTCTTATATAAAGTGGGAGGTGGGGCATCAGACTTAATCAGATATGCAGACAGGTTAATGCTGGAAAGCAAGCATTGGGAATTTGAAGATCTGGAAATCAATTCCCTCCAAACTAGCTGTACCCACATACTCCTTGGAAAGTCTTTATGTACCCCTGAGGATATGCATACCTGCATTTGATGTGTGCTGACTTAACCAAGCCTCTGTTGATGACTCCAGGATAGCTTACAGGTTTCCATTATTTTTGGTAATACCACTGGGAACACTGACACTTCAGTACCTTTCCATAGTGCCTCTTTTACTCCTCTCTGCTCTCAGCAGAGGTACATGAAGAGGCCTGTTTACCTACACCCAGCCAGCACTCTACAGGATCAGTCTTTATTATCTGTTGTCAAAATGATAGCAGAAAATAGCTCTCATTTTCCTTCCTTTGATGAGTCATGATGTGACTGTATTTTTATGTATCTATTGGCCATTTGTATTTCTTCCCTCACTTTCCTATTTCTCTGCTTTCCCAAGCGGTTCTGTTGAGGGGTGGTACTTTTCTTGTTAACTTATAGGAGCTCCTGATTTGCTGAGGGTACATACATTTTACTGATGTTTATTTGATGTTTGTCAGCTGTTTGTGGTGGCTTTTATGTTATAGAACTTGTAAATGTTGATGAATCTGTCAAGTGTCATGCTTATGCTTATAAAAATTCCTTATGGTTATTTTTATAACTATAATGGTTAAATTTATGATTATAAAATTTAAACCCGTGAATATTCCATGTAGACTATATTTTTATGATACAGTGTGAGGTCATGATCTAATTTTTTCCCCAGTGGATACTCAGTTTTTCTAATGCTGTATTGAATATTTTGTCTTTTCCCCACTGATTGAAAATGCCACCTTTACTGTATGCCACATTCTTATGTATTCCTGGTCTGTCTTTGGACTCTTTGGAGCCTCTAACTTGTTCCCTTGCCTCCTGTGACTTGCTTACTCCACTCCTGTGCTACTAGCACAGTTATTGTCCCAAAACACAGGGTGAGTCATATCACTCCTGTGCAGACACCTTCCAAGGGTTTTGTTCCTATGAAAAAAGAGATTAGACTTGTTAGCCAGGCCCAGCCTTAAGCTACCTTTCTAACCACATTTCTTCTTGGGCCCTCTGCTTTTTGGGAGCATAACATATGTTTTCACGTATTTGTATCTTTGTGCCTGCTGTTCTCTTGACTAGAAGTGGCCTCCCGACCCCCAGTTTTTCTTATTAAAACCCAAATTTCCTTTTAAGACCCACTGTAAAGCCTTACCAAAGCCCCCTCCCCTCTTTAGCTGTCCTTTCACTTGATCTCTAACTGTTGCTGTTTACCTTTGTATTTCCCCAAACAGATGCTCAAATCCTTGAGGACAGAGGGTACCTCATTAGTTTTTATACATTCCCCTAGTGCTTTTCATGTAGTCCATCTTTAGAAAATGCTGGTTGAGTGAATCAAATCTGATCATACATACGCACAACACATACATACACTCACACAAGCTCATCCATCCCTAGCTCTAAAAAGTGAGTGAGCAGCAGCCATTGTGTCAGGGGTCCTCAGGACCACACCCAGGTTCAGCGATTTGCTAGGAGGACTGCGAGGACTGGGCATATAGTGATACTCATGGCTATGATATGCGTTACTGTGGAAGGCTGCATAGCACAATCAGCAAAGGAAATTGGTCCCTGGGCAAAGTCCAGGGGACAACAGATGCAAGTTTGCAAGAGTTTGCTCTCTGTAGAATCACACAGGACTTGCTTAATTCCCCTAGCAATGAGCTGTGAAAACACGTGTGAAATGTTGCTAGCCAGGGAAGCTTGGTAGAGACTCAGTGCTCATTGGAAACTTACTGGAAGCTGGTCACATAGGCACCCCCTGCCAGGCACATACCCAAGTTCGAGACTTTCAGAAGCAAAGCAGGTGTTCAGCAAAGACTTTATTGTTTGCACAGTTTAGACACTCACCAGTGGTGGGAACCCTCCCGAAATCTAAGTTCCCAGATGCCAGCCAATGGCCAACCTTGTAAGTAGGCCTTTCAAAGGATAGCAGCCGGGTATACTATATTAATTGTTTGCTGTACTACCGTATTTTTGAAGAACTTAATTTCACAGATGGTAAATGCCTAAAGAGAGAAGGAAAAGGTCAATATGTTAGGAATGGTCAGGGAATGTGTATGCCAAGCACTTTGATTTTTACTCTTTCCACAGAGGAGGTAGGTTATGAGCTTAGTCATGGAGAAGAGCAGGACATAGAAGGGGCTGCATATAGCCACAGATCCATGTTGGCAGTAGAACGCAGAGTTGGGTAGAGATAGGGGCCTACAAATTATTGAGTGCCTCAAAAGCTGGGTAGAATAGGATGTGACGTGGTAGTAATAGGGCATCTTCCTAGACTCTGAAGGAGAAAGTGGTACTTGAGGATGATTGTTTGGTGAGCAGTGGGTAGGCAGGGTTCTGGGGAGGAGATGAGACGCAGGAATGCCAACAAGGGGACATTTGCAATGACATAAGTGGCAAGTTATGAAAATCTAGATGAAGGTGGTGCTTGTTTAGCTAGTTCAGCATTCTGCTCAATTAGGTTTTCAAATAATTGGGAGACTGAAGGGGTTAATCAAAGAGATGGTATAGAAGAAGCTATGTCAAAGGTGAATGTGATTCAGAATAATTGTACATTTTTATAGGCAAGGCATTTCAGGTGGAAAACTTTCAAGTAGTATAGAGTTTTTCTTTAAAATTGTTTTACATTATATAATTATAATTTTTATAGTATATAATGAATAAAGAAATAGGATACAATGAAGTCTACCTCTATTTAAATGAATAATGTTGCCAAAGTATATATGCATATATTTTGAATATTTCATTAACAAAAACAGAAGAATAAAAATTTTCTATCAGTACTGTTTTGGGAATTAAACATTTGCATACTAATATAAAGGCCAAAAAATAAATCAAATTTTAAATTTCTTTCAGTTTTAATAATGTAAGATCCTAGGAAAATGTTATATATAGAAATTGTTATATTAGGAAATGTTATTTATAGGAAAAGTAAGGATATATGTATTAATGTTTTTTTAATGTCCTAAAAAACATGTCATTCTACCATTTTTGCTCTTTTATTAGTTGCATGATATTAATGTCCAGTTCATGGTTGGTAACAATATTTTACATAGTGTAACAGTATAGAATCTACAATCATTACCCTTTAATCATAATCTTACTGTTCTTGCGAATTTCTTTTTCTGCGTTTATTGAAGCCTTAGATATATTTATGTTGTAGGTAACCATCCAAAAGCAAGAAAGCCCCCCCCATAGCTTTCTCTGTTATCAGCCAAGCTAGAAGAGTCCATATAGTTTTAGAATTAGATATCATGTGATGACGAAGATAAAATAGCAGTTTGAAGATGTGCATGTGTCAAATCAGGCTCTGTACTTGAGGGGCTAAAGTTTAACAGTCTTGATTTTTTTGCCAGGGATGTCCCCAATGGCAGAATGCCATTTCCATCAACTTACTAATAGTGGGTCGAGTACCATGTATTTTCTTTGTCCTACTGACATTATTTGATACCCACTTTGATGTGTGCTGTTGTTACTTTGTGTGTTTGGGGTTCCACAGAGCTTTGTGGGGATCTTGGATGCAAGTAGTACTACATAAATTAAAATATTTTGCAAATTGCAATGTGAACAAAACTCCAGCTCAGATGTTATACCTGAAGCTTCTCTTGAAGTCTGTATTTCTTTTGTTTTTCAATAGGAATATGCAAACATCGACACAGAAAACTAATGGGAAATTGTTACAAGTGGAATCAACACTACAGAATAATTTGAGAAGATCTCTTCAGGAGTTAGAATTCCCACTAAAGCACTAATACTGTAACTTTCTTGATTAAAAAAAACACCTACAACTTTATTTTTCTGTAGTGGAATGCTTTAACTTTTTTACACTTACTTGGTTTTAAATTACAGTATTCAATTAAAAACCTCTGTTAAGTACAGTTTCTTTTGCAAAAAGTCTCAAAAGGGCATTATTTGTTGAATTTTTCTCTGAGCATGGTTTCATAGGGAAGTTAACTGGGTTATATCCAAATGTTTATATGTTGAAAGTTTTGCTTATAAAATAAAAAACAAAAGTATCTGAATTGTATAGTGTCTGTACATGAAAGAACTTTAAACAGTGGCCTTACGGTAGCAAATTTTATACCAGATTTTTCTTTTTCTGATGACATTTTGACTTATAACTTGAAGTTTTCTTAAGTTTCTGAAGTTCAAGGCTTGTATAATTCATACATTTCATATTATGATCTAAGAAGGTGAGAGAAAAGGTGCTTCCAAATATTCCATCAGGTAGTTATGAGTGCACTGAATTTTTAGTAATTGTTTCATTCAATTTTTTTCCAAAGCTATTTGCTCTTTTCGAGTTTTAAAATGCTATTGTGGAAAATATGTGAAGATTTTGTAATCTATATTCCATGTTACTTTCCCTCAGGGCAAGCTTGTGCATATCATATTTTTAAAGGCCTTTAAAAATTTGACAGTCTCATATTTGGAAATTGTACTTTACTACTACAGCATTACACATTTTGCAAGCATATATTATAAAGTGTTTATTTTAAATTCAGTTGTATTGAATACTATGTATAAGATAGAATCGATGGTTATAAATGACATTTTAGGCTTTAATATCTTATTTCTTTTTGTTTTCTGTGTTCTGCTTAATAGTACCTATACGTTCCCAATTAAATTTTTGTGAAATGTTTATTGGTAATAAAACAAAATGTTGTTGTTATTCTTGAAGAAATTATTTGCCAGTTTGTGAGAACATTATTTTAATTTTACTTGAGAAATACAGCCCTAGGAAGGACCTGTTGATGTTTAAAACACCATTCTGCACTTACAAAGACAGACCTTTCTAAATCAAAATCTGGTAAGAACTCGATTTTTAGTGACTGGATTATGAAAAATCTTACTACAAACATTTGATTTTTTTACATATCTTTAAAAGGCAGGGCAGCCATTTCCTTAACAGGTCAGCAATACAGGGTGAAAACACTTGCTGCATTAAAATCAGGTAATAAATTTAGGTAGATGTCCTGTCTTATGCTGTGTGCCGCCTCTGTAGGTCGGGTTTTCCAAACATATTTAACATTCCACTTATGGTAAGAAAGAAATGCATGTACACAGTAGTATGACAGTTTTATATTTCATTAGGTACTTATAACATCTTCCTTAAATTTAAAAATGATCTATTTCACTCCCATATTTTTAACCATTTAGTTAACACATTTATTGCACAGATTCTGTGCTAAAGTTACAGCAATGAACAAGAGAAAAAAGCTCATAGAGCCTGCCTTTATGGTACTAACAGTCTGATAGGGAAAATGGATGGTAAGCATAGAAATGTAACTCAGTAAATGGCATTAATTCTTTCGCTCTGTTTTTATTGTTACACTTCAGGGTAAGTTGGTTGATTCAATATATTTTTTAAATTTTTATTTATTTTTGGGGGTGGGGAGAGAGACATCAGTTTTTTGTTATACTTTTTAAGCATCATTGGTTGATTCTTGCATGTGCCCTGACGAGGGATCGAACTCGCAACCTTGGCATATTGAGATGATGCTCTAACCAGCTGAGCTACCTAGCCAGGGCTCAGTATTAATCATTCCACAACAGATTTTCATTTTAGGCATATTTGGATATACTTTTGGCACTCTCAAAAGGCAAAGCCTGTTATTTGCAAAATACCTATTTGCGTAAGATCTAAAGCCTAAAAAGAAAGGCTTGCTTTATAATTTAGAGTATAAAATAAGGACAGGGACCATGTCTGTCTTGTTCACTGTAGTATCACCAGCTCCCCACATCCTACTTGACACATAGTAGGAACTCATTAGTCTAATGAATAGGCAATGAGTAGAATATGTTTATTAGGAACTAAATATCTAATTTTCTTGTGGAGGTTGAACAAAAGGTTATCCATGGTATTTTTTGTTGACTGGAAAGAATTGAAGTCACTAATGCACAAGACTTCAGAAGAGAAGTTATGATAAGTCACATATCATTGCCTTCTCCCCTTCCTCCTCTGTGTGGTAACCCCTTCCCTGGCACTGGGAAGACAAAGATGAGTGAGACACAGTTCCTGCTCTGAGGAGCCTCATCAGCTGTTGGGGAAGAGAGTCACAAAAATAAAGACTTGCAATATAGAGTGTAAGTATTATACTGGACATATATATAAAAGGTTGAGAGAAACGGTATTCCTGGTTGAGCATCCCCTGGTCACATTCCTTTCTTATTGGTTTCACAAACTTCAAAAGGCACTATTGTGTTGGTGGTTTTGCTGGTTTTAAAATTTGATGGGATGGGGGAAACTGAGTAAGGTGAGCATGGGTTCTGTCTGTATTATTTCTTATAGCTGCATGTAAATCTATAATTATCTCAATACAAATTTCAATTAAAAAAGTATCCATAATCTTATCACAGAGAAAACTATAGATATTTTGGATGATACTTTTTTGCTATTGGAAAAAATTATTATACTTACATTATAATAATTTATGTAGATGCATAATATGGAGCACATTTTACCCAATCATTTTTTCAGTAGTTTTTTTTTTTTTTTTAAGGCTGGAGATATTTCTAGGTCCAAACAGGAGAAGTAAAGCTGGATCAGAAACTCCTCCATTAAATAGCCAACTCAGTATGCAGCAGTCACAAGTTTCCGCAGCAGCAACCAAACAAGGAAGCTAAGCAGAGAAGATGCTAAGGCAACAGGTGTGGTGCAAGTCCTCCCCCACCCTCCTGAGGTGCACTGAGTAAAGAAACTGAACTGACAACATCTTGGTGAGAAATGGCCCATGTATGAACACAAGAACTGACGAAGTGACCAGGCCATGTGGAGAGTCATGGAAAACCCTTGGGAAGATGAAGTCTTTGCTACCTTCTCAGGACCTCAGTGAAGCAGGGGAGAGATCCCCCAGCAGGAAGCACTTGCCGGGTCAGGTTGAAGTACCCACCTGTGGATGCCAAAGTCCGAAGGGTAAGGTACACCTTTGACTGGGTCCAGTCAACCCCTGTTCTGGACATTTGGGAACCTAGAAGAAAGGGGACCAGGTTTCTCAACAAAGTTCTAGTAAAAGGAATAGTTAGGAGCTCTGAGTCCATTAAAATACAGAACTAAGATTTGAAAACTGAGGAATTATAGTTGTAGAATGGAATGTAAATGTAATTAATCTTGACAAAGAAAAATTCACATACATTGATCAATTGATACATGGGGGAGAGAAGGGGAACAAAGATCAAGTGCTGAATGTCTCATCTTTCATGGCCAAATGTCGTGTGAAGTTTTAATGTCTAAGAGTGTATTGTATAATATGGGAAAAACCCTAGCGACCGACCTTAAGTTTTTCAGTCTTTTTCTTGACTTTTGCACAGTGGTTCTCAAAGTGTGGTCCCTAACCAGCAGCAGCATCATCACCACTTGCAAACTTGTTAGAAGTGCAGATTCTTGGCCCCGCCCCAGAATTACTGAATTAGAAGCTCCATGGGGTGGAGCCCAGCAGGTTGTTTTAACAAGCCCTTCAGGGGACTGGTTTACTTAGCTCTTAGAACCAGTAGCCCCTATGGTGAAGAAATGGCCCCTTCAGTTTCATTTCTATTTTTTTCTTTAGCATTCAAATAAATTAAAACCTTTTAAAATACAGTGATTCCCATCATCAATTCTGTCTGCACTTATGAATTCTGTTGTTAACACGTGATTTTTTTAAGTGGTAGGATATGAGTGACTGCTTTTCTGTATCTGTGGAACATAATGAACGTTGTAGCGTTTTGATAAGATAAAGTCACTCTTTTTAAAAATGTAAGGATATTTCATCCTATCGTATTTCTGTTACTAAAGTCCTTGTAAACAAGTTTTACCTCCAAGGGCTGCCTACTTCACCTTAGTCCAGAAGGGTTTTACAATCCCTGCCATTCCTCCTCCCATATCATAAAATGTGGCTAACCTTAAGTAAGTATGTGTTGTGTTGACTTTTTAATAAAAATTGTTGATTTATAATATTTATCATAATTATATATACTTTAAATTCATTTTACTGCTGTTTTTCAAAAGAAAAAACTTTTCTCTGACAAAAAGTACAGAGCATAGTATGTAGGAGGAAGAAAAGTTCATAATCACACTGCTCGTATATATTTAGTGAAAACTAACATTTTGGTATTTTTCATTAGTCTTTTTCTGAGCTTATTTTGGTAGTTGAGATATTTTATATATGTATATTCAGTCTTCACATGTAGTTGCATACATGTTTAAAACGTGTTTGCAGTCTGTATGACATTGAAGTTTACATATTTTAGAAGGCAAGGGACAGAATCCCATTCCAGGAAAGCTAAAAATGTCTTAGGAAATCCTGAATTATCATATTAAAGTTTAGAGGGCTTGTTTGTTGTCTGTATACATCATTTAAGATACTAAACACTAGATTAAGTTTTACAGATGATTTTCTAAAGTAAAATTTTACCTCAAATTCTAATCCTTTCTAAGGATACTTAAAATAATATTTAGTAAAGAAGAAATTGACTTCAATTGACTTGTTGGGAAATTCTTGCTGATGACAGCTTTTGCAAGGGGTTGCGGGGAACACAGTGCTGCTAACTTAATGGTCTTTTAACAACTATGGTGAAAAAGCATTGCCAAGAGGTTCCTCAAAAAGCTAAACATAGAATTACCATATAACACAGCAATGCCACTCTTAGGTATATAACCCAAAGAATTGAAAACAGGGACTCACATACTCGTTCATAGCAGTACTATTCACAGTAGCCTAAAGGTGGGCACAACCCAAGTGTCCATCGACAGATGAATGAGTAAACCAAATGTGGTATATCTGCACAGTGGGGTCTTGTTCAGCCATAAAAAGGCATGAAGTGATAGAGGCTATACCAGCATGACCTTGAAAAGATGCTAAGTGAAAGAAGCCAGTCACAAAAGGACAAATATATAATTCCACTTATATAAAATATCTAGAATAGGTTCAAAATCATTTTGAGAAATGTTTCTATTTTCAAAACATTTCTCCATTGCTTTGGCTCCCATTCCTGTATGTGTGAACTGTTTTGTAACCTCTGAAAGATTTAAGATTTTCTCTTTTTCTTTCATATTCTAAAATTTATCAACAATGGGTGTTTTATTCATTGTGCTGAGCTCCTAGTGGGCCCCTGTCATGTTATGTTCATTAATATTTTAAAAAAGTTATCTCCACCCCTGACTTCTTTTCCTGAGCTATACATGTATTTCCATTTGTCATGTGGAAATTTCCACCTGAATGCCCTACAACCATCTCAGACTCATCTTGTTTGAAACTGAAATGAACCCCAAAATTGTTCTGTTCATTATCTCAGTTCATAGCTCCCTAATTCACAAAAAGACTCAATTCAGGCAGTCCTCTCAGATTCTGCTTTTTTCAACTTTTGAAAAAGATCTGTTCCTTCAATGGTCAGCCATCACTTGATCTCACCTTTATCCCATCTGCTCTTTGTAAATACCCAGTGTGGTGTGCAGGGCAGTTGGCAGGTAACATTGCCACAGCTTGGAGATTACCAGAGGCTCCCCGAGGTTAAGTGACTTTCCCAAAGTTATGTAGTTAATGAGTGGTGGAACTGGCAGCTGAGCCTTCAGACTCACTCATCTGACCATAAGAATAACAGCTCATGGGTACTAAGCACTTACTTTTGTCTGGCAATGTTCCAGCACTCTCCATGCATTAACTCATTTCATCTTCACAGAAACCCCATGAAATA